CTAAGGCGCGATGTAAACAAGTACATCGTCAAGCAAGCTTGAAACTCTCGATAGAGCGGCTGGCAAAATATGTTGCCGAGATCACCGATTTTGTTCCCATGCTCTTTGCCGAGCTCGCGGCAGGCTGTCGATGTCACTGTGACAGTTATGTACCGGCAGACTCCGGTGCGTAGCTTAGGTACTAATTGGGATATAACCCCATAGTACCGCCCAATCTAATCATACTCCCTCTGGATCCCCTTCTCTTTGACTTCCCTCGACGCCGCCAATCTGCTTGCAATGAGGTGGCGTTGAATATACTGCAAATGTGAGTACATTGTTATTCCAGGAAGCAGTGTTATCAACTGATGGGAGCCTTGTATCCATATTTGCAGAAGGCACTGGCAGGTTCTTGCAGGACAATGCACACGAACGGAATGGAAAGTGTAAAAGAGATTATGAACGGGAACCAAATGAAGACAGATCATGTAAGTATGACCACAGTTCCCCCCCATTTCGTCTCTGATTAAACGATATGAGAAAATGGTTGCGACTGCGAGTCTGCGACGAAGAACTTGAACATTTGGACGTCTACACTCACACAAGCTTGCAAGAAACTGACAGTGCCCATCTACTGGGATCCCTTGGTTCTGCACAACACCCTCTGAGAGCTGACTGTCCTGCTATTTCAATACCTCCCGCCCTTCCTCTTCTATCCCGCTCAATATGACCTCGCCGGTGTCTTGTGCACTGCTATCCATAGTTTTCTTGTTAATTACTATTCATTTACCATACATATTTGGTTCTATATTACATGGGAATAGAAATTATCTAAACTATTGCGTGACAGCCTGCCGCGAGCTCGGCGAAGAGCATGGGAACAAAATTGGTGATCTCGGCGACATATTTTGCCAGCCGCTCTATCGAGAGTTTCAAGCTCGCTTGACGATGTACTTGTTTACATCGCGCCTTAGGAGGCGTCACGTGCCTGAAAAATTACTCTCGTACGAGTGGCTGGTTCTAGGAGCCTGGCACTGCCTTAGCATAGCTTTAGCACAGCCTTGCACAGCCTACTACTCTTGATCCTTGCACAGCCTTAGGATTCGTAGAGTATAAATACCCCCCAAATTGTAGTAGATACATAGACATCATCAAATGCAATGCAATGCGAAGTGAAGTTCAATTTATTAGTTTTCTTTGATCTAGCTGTGCCCTGAGAATGAATTCCTTCAGCATAGTAGGATAAAGTTTGTCCTTATCCTAGCTTCTATATAGAACTTCTGTATAGTCTCATTGTATTAGTAGTCTTGATTATATTGATAATTGAGTACTCAGATCAGTGAAAGCATTCTTTACTAGAGAACAGAGTAATTTGGTAGCCTGTGTCTACATTATTCTGGATACCTGTGTATTGATTCCACCGCATATTGTTTTGTCGTAACCTGGACATTTAGACTGTAGAACGATTCTGCAGGGTGTCTTATTGTGATTTCAGTTTTGGAAGTGATCTAGCAGAAACGTCTGATCTAGAGCTTCATAGTTTTGTCTCATTGCGGAGTCATACAACGTATCCTAGGGAAAGAATATTTCCTCATCATAGTCTTATTGTCATACTTCATTTCAACTTATCTTTAGTACTGTATAGTATTCTATCCTTGTACCTCATCCTCGTGAAGCCATTATTGACTTCTAGCCTACACTCTTTTCCATTCCTATCCCCTATTCCCCTTTCTACTACCTTGTAGAATCCCAGTGAATATTCTTTCAATAACACACATCAGCCTGCAGCAACTTGGGTGACTGTCCGATCTATCTAGACTGATCCGACTACATCCAAAACATTTCAGTGAAACCCCACTGAGTGTGACACCGGATCAAGGAGGGTGATGAGTGGAAGGCTGCATTTCGGACTACGCGCAGACTCTTCGAACCCTTGGTGATGTTCTTTGGACTGACCAACATCCCGTCTACCTTCCAGACCATGATGAACGACTTGTTCCGGGAGCTCATTACGGAAGGTGTGGTTATTATCTATCTGGATGACATCCTGATCTACACCAAGACGCACGAAGAGCATCGCCGGGTTCTCAAGCGTGTCCTAGAGATCCTCCAGCGGAACAAGTTCTTCCTCCAAGAGGACAAGTGCGATTTCGAGCAGACCAAGGTGGAGTATCTCGGAGTTGTCATCTCTGAGGGTAAGATCAAGATGGACCCCGTGAAGGTCTACGGAGTTGCGGACTGGCCGACCCCTCGGACTCGGACTGAACTCCAATCCTTCCTTGGGTTCGTCAACTTCTACCGCCGCTTCATCAAGGACTACTGGCATATTGCCCGGCCTCTCTTTGACCTCACCTGCACAAAGGAATGGCAGTGGAACAACTACGCTCAATCTGCATTTCTTCGGATCAAAGAGCTGATCACTTCGGAACCTGTTCTGGTCTTTCCGAAGGAGGATTGGCCGTATCGGGTTGAAGCGGACTTGTCAGACTATGCTACGGGTGCAGTCTTGTCACAGCTGGATCTGGATGATGGTAAATGGCATCCTGTCGCATTCTACTCTAACAGTCTACAGGCTGCGGAGCGGAACTACGAAATACACAACAAGGAGATGCTTTCAATCATCCGGGCACTCGAAGAATGGTGGCACTACCTTGAAGGCGCGGAGACTCCGTTCAAGAGCTGGATGGACCACAAGAACCTGGAGTACTTCATCAAGGCCCAGAAGCTCAACCGTTGTCAGGCCCGCTGGTCCCTATACCTCTCCCGCTTTGACTTCACTCTCCAGCATCGTCCGGGTCGGACTATGGGTAAACCAGATGCTCTCTTGTGACACTCGGATCACTCGGATGGTAAGGACAACAACAAGGATGTGGTGATGCTTGTAAGGGCAACCTCAAGATAGCCAACAGCGCAGGCCTAGCAGAGGGAGAATCCAAAGAGATGAATAAGACTAACTACAATACATGAGAGGGCTGCTCACCTAGCAGAGGGAGAATCCAAAGAAAACAGGATAAGGATTCTCCATGCTAGGAAGCAAAGTATATACTGTAGTAGCGTGAGAGGAATGCAGGATAACTGTACAGTACACCAGCCACAAGTCCGAACGAATATCACAAGGTATGAGGAAACATGTGATAATGAAGTGAAGGGTAAATGCACAGGAGTCGTGCCAGCGACTTGGGGAAGTAAGGGCGAAGAGTAATGAAGTGGGGAAAGAGGATAGAGGTAACCCGGACAAGCCCCGAAGAGTATAGACAAGTCCAAGCGAGTCCGAAGTGTCCGAAGTGCAGGAAGACTCCGGAGTCACTGGACACGGCTCGGATGCAAAAGGAGTGGGCGGAAAGGAAGTGGAAAGGAAAGGGAGCAAAAAGGAACGAAGGGGAACGAAGGGAATGTAGGTAAGAGTCCATGGGATGAAGGAAAGGAGAGAAACCAGGAGTGTCCCCTTACATAACAAGGAAAACCTGGTGGGTGGACGTCCTAAGAAGCTTGCTACGGCTGATGAGAGGGCAATCATCAGCCAAACCAACTCTGGAAAAGCTGAGAATGCTGTTCAGGTCACCAAAAACTTGAGCAAAGTCCTCAGTGATGTCTCCACACAAACTCTGTGCAATGTCCTCAAGAAAAATGATATGAAGGCTGTGGTGAAGAAGAAAAAACCCTTTCTATTAGTCAAACATCAGAAAGCACGTCTTGCTTGGGCTTTGAAGTACAGGAATTGGACAGTGGAGGACTTCAAGAGGGTATTGTGGTCAGATGAAACTAAAATCAACAGATTTGGGTCAGATGGTAGGAAATGGGTGTGGAAACAGAAGGGGGCGCCTTTGCAGGATCGGGAGGTTGAAGGAACTGTCAAGCATGGGGGTGGAAATATTATGGTCTGGGGGATGATGGGATGGAATGGGGTGGGGAGAATGGTTGAGGTTGAGGGGAGGATGGATGCCCAGCAATATGTGGACATTCTAGCTGATGGTCTCCTTCCCACCATTGAGGAGTGCAATATCCCTGCAGAGGATGTGATCTTTCAGCAGGATAACGACCCCAAGCACACCTCAAAATTGGCACAGAAGTGGTTTGAGGATCAAGAGATTGTGGTCATGGACTGGCCTGCCCACTCTCCTGATATTAATCCCATTGAACACCTCTGGGAGCACATCAAATGCCAACTCAACACCTACAATACACCATCTAGAGGAGTACATGAATTATGGGAGAGGGTTGCAGAGGTATGGGATGGGATTGATGTGGAGGTATGCCAGAACCTTATATCAAGCCTTCCCAGGAGGATTGAGGCCGTTATCAAGGCCAAAGGGGGGAATACCAAGTATTAGATAGTACACTCAAAAAACCCTTTCAATGCAACCCTTGATTAGAAATTCTGTAGAGTATCCTAGACTTATCCGATTGACTTGAATCAAGATTTGTCACTTAGCTGAAAAGGGGCACTACAAATGCTACACTGACCCTGAGCCACCATTTTCAGTAATTCCTCCGTTATTCAGTGTTTTGTGCAAAAGTGACCAACATAGAAAGGGTTTTTTGAGTCACTGTACTTAGCATTACTTATCACATTTTGGAACTCCAATAATTAATTCTTCTTGTTCAAACCACACTATGCGCATACGCGACCTCGCCAGTCCCCCAAGTGGGTAACACTCCCCACAGCCTGGGTTACAGGCAATCCCCCTTCCCTGGGCCACGGGACCCTCACGCTAGGGACACAAGCATTCTCCCTACCCCTCGAGCCCCGACATTCCACACAGTCGTTACAGGTACGTTCATGCTGATGATACTTCCATGGATTGTGTATGCATTCTCATTGGCTACTAGCCTCATGAACAAATCATTGCCTCCGCTATATACTATTATCAAGCTGATCCCGAGATCAAGGATCAAGGCCTCAGCTTCCAGCGCCGAAAAGATAACAACTCGGATTTCCCCAGCAACAAACTATATGCACACCACATTTGTCTACTAGGTCTAGCCTTGATTACTGGGAATCATATTGATAGTTTGTACCCTCATCGCAGGACTTCGATATTGATTTTGTGGAAGATGGCACCAAAGTTGGTGATGGAGAAGAAGAAGAGGATGATGAAGACAAGGAAGATGAAGACAAGGAAGATGAAGACAAGGATGCCGATGGTCCTGAACCAGAGCACAATTATCCCAGTGACTGGGAGTACACTGAGCATAATGGAGCACAACAACCACATTCAACGTTGGACCTACCTATTTTCACCAGGCTCGGAACCGTGCCTGCCACCGGGGCCCATGGATTGCTCAGTGTTCGCCCTGATGTAGTACATGTATTCTTGAACCGTTTCAAGGCCGTAATCATCCACGACTATGTCACAATAGGTTAGTGTCTGCCGATGGCATGTGGTGGAAAACGTACTAGCACCGCGGTAGTCACCAAGTCCAATCAACCCACAGGGAGGATAATCACCTTCCTGAATTGGATACAAGTGAGTCTAGGACATAATATATTGGCATACTCTCACTCACAAGGTTGCGTATGATGTTTACATGTTTACTAGCACAAAGTTGGTGGGATATCACATTCTCTCTCTCCGATTCTGCTGCACCGCCAGCAACTAGGAGAATTGTGAGTCCACATGTCAATAGTTTGACCATGCTCAGTGACAACGTGGACAATCCGTCCAGCTCTGCTTTTTCTTGGTAGATGAAAATCAGATGGACCCAGATGACAATGACACTGCCTTTTACCACAGCTATACCACTTCAGGTTTGGTGGGGATGAGCATCTTATTGTCCTTGGATGTTCCATGGCAAGCATGGCTGTGCAATATTGCCACTTTGCACCTGTTGATTTCAATTGCCTGGAAGTGCCTTGTAGAGGTGTCTATACGGGTCATATTTAATCCTAGCTAAAAAATATTGAGGTTTGCAAATCACTAGCTCTCAATTATCCTCTTGGTCGCATGCGGTTAGAAATCACTTGACAGCACCGCAAAGAAAGCCCCAATAAACACTGACATGGTCTGTGTAAGGGCAACCTTAAGATGGCCGACAGCACAGGCCTAGCAGAGGGAGAATCCAAAGATATGAATAGGACTAGCTACAATACATGAGAGAGCTGCTCACCTAGCAGAGGGAGAATCCAAAGAGAACAGGATAAGGATTCTCCATGCTAGTGTAAGGGGACACTCCCATTTTCTCCTATTCCCCTGTCCCCCTCCCTTCCTCCTCATTCCTTTCTCCCTTCCTTCATCCCACGGACTCTTACATACATCCCCTTTGTCCCCTTTCCTTTCCACTTCCTTTCCACTCACTCCTTTCGCATCTGAGCTTCGTCCGGTGACTCCGAAGTCTTCCCGCACTTCGGACTCGCCTCGGACTCGCTCGGACTCGTAGATACACTTTGGGGCTCATCCTGGCTACCTCCGTCCTCCTCTCCCACTTCGTTATTCCTTGTTCCCACTTCCCCAGGTCGCCGGCACGACTCCTGTACATTCCCCTTCCACTTCATTATCACATGCCCCCTTGTACCTTGTGATATTTGTTCGGACCTGTGGCTGGTGTACTGTACAGTTACCCTTCATTCCTCCCACACTACTACAGTATATACTCCGCTTCCTAGCATGGAGAATCCTTATCCTGTTCTCTTTGGATTCTCCCTCTGCTAGGTGAGCAGCTCTCTCATGTATTGTAGTTAGTCTTATTCATTACTTTGGATTCTCCCTCTGCTAGGCTCGCGCTGTGCGGCCATCTTGAGGTTGCTCTTACAGCTAGGAAGCGAAGTATATACTGTAGTAGCATGAGAGGAATGAAGGGTAACTGTACAGTACACCAGCCACAGGTCCGAGCGAATATCACAAGGTACAAGGGGGCATGTGATAATGAAGTGGAAGGGGAATGTACAGGAGTCGTGCCAGCGACTTGGGGAAGTAAGGGCGAAGAGTAATAAAGCAGGAAAAGAGGATAGAGGTAATCTGGACGAGCCCCAAAGTGTACAGACAAGTCCGAGCGAGTCCGAGCTGTCCGAGCGAGTCTGAGCGTGTCCGAGCGAGTCTGAGCGTGTCCGAAGTGTCCGAAGTGCGGGAAGACTCCGGAGTCATCAGACGTGGCTTGGATGCGTAAGGGGTGGGTGGAAAGGAAGTGGGACAGAAAGGGAACAAAGGGGAACAAAGGGGAACATAGGTAAGAGTCCATGGGATGAAGGAAAGGAGAGAAAATAGGAGTGTCCCCTTACAGTCTGACTGATGCACACAATGATATCGATTCAGGTGACATAGTTTTGAATCCCGAGTTACTAGTATATGTGCCAGCACAGTATGTCATCCTGCAACGGTGAGTAATAATCAAAATCCTATCAGACCCAACATGCCCACAAACTACAAGTATCTTTGCCCTACACTCTATTGCCTAAGGACCTCTCCAGACCACAGCTCAATGGTAACCACCGCCGATAATACACCCATTCCTATAAATTCTCCAAAGATTCTCTCCAATTTGACAGTTTCTGCAGCATTAGGTGGTGGTAGGTTGACACCTCGCATTACTAAAGTACAATGGTGAGACCAAGATGCTTGAGAGTTCTGTGCACAAGAAATGTGTTTAATCTCTCATAGTCAGTAAGAGTAGGGCTGTGTGCGGCATCCCAGGTCCATAAATCACGAGTGATCTAGTGATATGTTGCCAAAATAACACATGTCATGTTGTCAGTTCGGAGCAAAAGATAACTCGTATGTAGAGTGTCAGGAATTTCTTTCAATGACACCGCGCAATGAGCACCGCAGTCTGTTGTCAATATTCTCAGAATATATATCAAGTAAAATCTGTAGAATGTATGAGCTAGTAATAGACCTCAGTCGTACCAGGTAGTGGTTTGAAGCTCAGATATATTGTAGGGAATATATCTACCTGTAGAACGTACAAGTTAAGGCATGCATATCACTAGGTTACAACTGGGCGTAACTAGAAAATACATACCTCATACCAGGTAGTACATAGTGATTTGAAGCTGAGACATAAGGATAGGAGATGATGCCTAAATAGTACGTGCCAATACTAATGCGGAAAGGGGAAGTACATAAAAAGAAAGAAGTGGATGAGAGAATCCTCAAAACAAAGTTGCGTCCATTCTTTACAAAATCCATTTGAAAGATCATCGATCATGGCCTTCCGAAGGACACCTCCCCCACAATAATGCCTATGTACATGTGGCTGGATTGGCGCAATGGCTGGATACAGTGTAATGCCACGCTCAGGCTCCTTCCCCATACCTGTAACATCCGGCTTCTCAATATTGTTAGTGGTGATCCTCATTGTTCCTCTGTTGAACCATACAGTACCTTAGACGCTCAAAGTTCCACTCGCAGCAGAGTCATGAGCGAACACAAGGGACGGCATCGCCGCGCCGCCCGACTGCACCTCATACGGCAATGATTCTCCTACATTTGAGACAAAGGTGGTCGATGCAGTTCAACGTATATGAATGAATATGCGGCATGCCAGCACTGAATGCAAGGATCGCTGGAACCTGTACAACCAGGTTAGTAACCTGGTTAGAGCCCCTGCTGTCACAAACCCTAAACATGCTTTATACTCACGCGGTCATATCGTAGAGCCAACGAGACTGAGCATTGAACAAAAAATGTAGAAATTCAGACTTACCGCTTGTGAATCTCCATGTAACATAACAATATTGATGGTCGAAGCAGCTTCAAGCGTATTACATGGTCACCCAAGGCGAATTGCACCTGTGGAAAGCCACACACCAAAAAGGCCGACAAAATAGATAAGGCCTGCGATACTAATTGAATTTACGGCTGTAAGATAAGCATTATTTCTTACCGTCTTGAATGAACAAATCGAACAGCGATGATGGGTTTATCAGCTGAAAACCATGTAGTCGTGCTTTCAACAGCCGAACCCCAAGCTCAGATAGACACAGTTCAGTGAGAGAAACACTCACAGTGCCTGAGGCATTTGACCAGAGTCAGCATTAAGACGGCTATGATTCCGTGGATAAATGACGGGGTATCCATACCATCCAGTTACGAACCTGCCTCTAAACCCATCAAACCAGTGAACACGATGAATATTGGTCCATTGGATCCCGAACGGTAACACCTAGTCAGGTGGGGTGTAATGTTCTGCGCAGGAGCAGCTAACAATTGGCTTAATTAACAACCATACAATTGTCGAGGAATAAGATACTTGCATGCCAAAGGCTCTCCGATCGCTGTGGCCGCTACGGCAACACATGTCAGCGCAAGAATAAACAAGACGATGGTAATAAGCCGTGTCCTTCCCCACAAAGACCATACTCGTATTACCATTATTGCTTACGGAGCGAGTTAGTTCAAACCTACCAGGTAATCGTGATAGTAGCTGACCTTCCGCCATGCAAATACCGACCATAAACGAGTCTTGCACAACGGGGTCAGTACCAGAGAATGAGGACCTGTAAACAAGTCACGCACATCCCATGGCCTTGTCAAATATCATGCATTGCTGATGTGACAAACCCGGGGTGATAATATCTGTGAAGTCAAGTACATGAGCCGCAGGGCCAAATATGTTGCCATAGCTCACGGTAGAAGCTTAACGAGAGGTTGATGAACGCCGGGTATCGGGTTGACAAATACAACACGGTACCCATTCCTTTTGGCCTCCTCCAGACAAAGGTGACCTCGTCCTCGAGGGTAGTAAAATAGTCATAAACCTGATAGGATAGATGCGTTATTCAGTCTTCAGTTGAACTTGGGACAAGTGGTCGGCCTACAAGCAACGCGACCGCTGATGCTACCTGGGCATTAGTGACAATTTTTGGTGTTGTAGAATAAGCCCTCACCTTCAAGGTACTGCTTTCGTAAAGTGGTCAGCTACACGCCTGATACCGTGAACCTAGGGCGTACCTGTTGTTCCCGACGTTGGAAAAGCCCTTGCAGAATTAGTTTATCCATGTGGATTCCGAATTCCTTGGGGGGTGAGGGTACTATTTCATCTGGACCTCACCTTACGCCTACTCGCAATCTTATGGGTTGTCTTGTTAAGCTCGTGACAGCCAACTTATGCTGCAATCACTTAAACTTGACTAGATCATTACATCCTGTCGTCGTTTGTATGGATCGCCAAGTCTTGACAAATACGGTTCAACGCCACCGATGGAAAGCGCCTCAAAATCTGGATCCTCGATGAAATCCCGATGGTCTCAAAGCTTGGAGACTTGTTTTTCATACTGCTACTTGAGGTAGAGGACGTCTGTGGTGGGGACTTGTATCAACGAGTGACATGTCACCGCGAAAATCATTGTAATGGATTACACCACTCAACCCCTCCTTCACAGTGAGTGTGCTGACTGGTATCGACAGTCCCAGAACATGCAGTATGGGGAGCAAACGAGAGCGTCCTGAGTTCCACTTGGTCTGAGTGCATCTCGTCAGACAGCGTCATACTACTAGGCATGAAGGTTGTATATGTTGATCGGCGTAGGTGGATGAATATACGGGACGCTAGCACTGAATGTAGACACCGTTGGATACTGCAAAAGTCCGGGATGGGGATGAACAGACGACAAGCCAGGGTACCGGTTATACGGCGTCGATCGTCCTAATGAACTACAAGACTTACGCGATCACATCCTAAATTTCATGGTAAGCAGGGTGTAATTACGAGCAAAACAAATGAATCACTAGTTGTGAGTTCCCCATAAGCATAATAACGTTGATGAGCGATATAGCTGTTCGGCGTCCAGCCAAGCAATAAGACTAGGGAATCCAAGAGATAGAAGGCAACAACCGGATGCATCAAAGAGGCCAATGAAATATATAACACCTAGGGGTTGCCGTCAGTCACCATCTGTTCATGTCAAAGACTTGAAGGAGTTTACCATCTCGAATGAATAAATCGATGAGCGAGGATGGGTTGATGAGATGGGAACCTTGTAAACGCGCTTTATGAAAGAGTGTTTAGATGCATAGCGACTGCGACGAGAGACTGCTTACAGTGTCGGATACATCTAATAAGGGTTAGTGTCAAAGTGACTATAATCAAAGTGAATGTGCTGGGGTAGGGACTCAAACAGCTGATGCCACTTACTTGCCTTGAACCCCATCAATATGGCATAGTCTACGGACATTGCACCGTTCGATCCCAAAGGGTAACATCCTGACATATTGGGTGCTATATCACGCATCAAAACAACTGTTGGTGAAGCAACAATTGAGCATCAGAACCGCTTGTTTGGAGGAGGTACTTACACGTTAAGGACTTTTGAGATAGCCCGAGAACCGTAACACCCGGTATCGAGGTTGCTATTGTCAATATACTCAAGAATACTGTCATAAATCATGTTCTTCCCCATAACGACCATACTCGCATGATCATGATTACTATCAGTGTGTTAGGACATACGCTTGCCAGGTGATAGGCTCATCAACTGACTTTCGGCTACGGCGATGCCAATTAAGAACATCCCTATAGAACCAATGATCAGACAAGGGGGTGAGGATAGTTGTACTGCAGACTGACATCCCATGGCATGGTCAAGGGCTATACATTGATCAACCGGTAGTCTGGGTGTAATCCTAACTAGTACGTCGAGGGCGTCAATAAAGAGAACCAAGATTGCGAGATACTCACTGTACAAGCTTAGCACTAGATCAACAAACACAGGGTAGCGGGCCAGAAAATACAGAATGGTTCCAAGACTTTTTGGCTTCGTCCAAATGAAGGTGACTTCGTCCCCAAATGTTACGAGATAGTCATAAACCTAGGGCAAGTTAATCGGAGAGCACCAAGTTTGGATGATAGTCTTACAAATAATGCAAGCGGGGAGACTACCAAAACTCATCATCATAACAAGTTCCTGATTTCTTTTATACGATTCTTACCTCGAAGGTACTAAGTTTTCATAGCGGTAAGAATTTATTCCGTAGATACCAGGGCTCTGTGTGTACCTCTTCTTGCCGAAGTTGGAAAAGGCCTTGGAGGGTTGGCCTCTCCATGTAGACGTGGGGGATCAGTGGCAAGCGCAGCCCAGCCTTTGCTCGCTATCTTATACAATAAGGGAAGCCATTAAGCTTCTGCCACACGGAGCATTGACGCTGCCTTCGTTGGATTGATTAAGCTTAAATAGGAAATACTGGTACCACTGCCAGAGGAGGCATGCGTTAACGAGCATCGTTTCAGCAGTCAACACTGATAGGTTGACCGCCGGTGATTAGGAGCCAAGAACACTGGTATGGTACCAAGCTTCGCTTGCTAGTGGAGGGTCATTAACTCAACTCAGGTGGGCGCTTCGATACTTTGAATTGCGATGAGCAGCAGCTTCTAATAGAAGACTGGAGAAGTATTCTTTTGCCGAGTTTAAACTTGTTACCTGCAGGGTGGTGAGGGGTATAAACCAGAAACGAGGCACATAGAACGTACTTCCAGCAACCACAAACCGTAAAGTTTATGTTCACGGAGAAAGCGAGCACATGTGGTTGAATCCCGAATAGCAGAACTCACATATGACCCGTTCACCGAATAGTTAGCTCACTGAGCCTGAGTGACACAACGGGGAGTTACTGAGCCTGCTATTATGGAAGCCTACTTGCAAGCACCTTACATGAAAGTTAAGAAATTCGGAAATATGTCAGTAACAGGGGGAGGGCTAACAACAGAATTAACTCACTGCACGGGGAGAGTCGCGTACCCCTTCCTATGTGGTATCTTCACTCAGTATATAAGTCGTCTTTGCCAGTCCAAACGGCGCATATAGATACTTCTTGAGTCGAAGGCATTGTCAACCTCTCATTTGAAGCCTGCAGATAGCAAGACGGTCTGCCCTGATGACAATCTTCTCGTACTCTTCGTATATACTGACCCTTATTAGTGCATAGCCTCGGTTATCTGCAAGTTGAATTGTGCAGCACTGGTCACAACGACTTTCAAGGTGGACTCTGATCGATGTCGCAGCAGTAGGGGCATGACCTGAGCACAAATCGCCAGAGTAATCCAGGGCATATACTGATGAATGAGTATTCTGTCGAGGTGGACAAAGAAAGAGTTACGATTCCATGTGGTGGACGACGCAAAAGAGAGGATGACATGTGACGGCGTGTGACATACCGCGTTAGGACCGACATCGGATAGATCTAGCGCTCGTATACGCACAAGGCACGACGGAATTCAAGGCAAGATGGCCGAGCGGTCTATGGCGTGTGACTCAAGCGAGTAGCTTGCCTGCACAAGCAGGTTTCTCATCATCGAAAGATGGCGGGGGTTCGAATCCCCCTCTTGTCAGACTTTTTGCTCGTCGAGGGAACGAAATAGCATAAACAACATACAGTCACAACATACAGTCACAGTGATAGAATGTCCTTATGTCCAATGTAACTACAACAACTATGGTAAAACAGATGGTTCCGCGCTATGAAGGGAGTCTCGAGCCCGTAAAAGAGGAAGCTGAGTCCACGCAAAGACAAAAAGAAGGCATATAGGCAACATCAAGAGTATTATGCTCCCAATATTCATCACAAGATCGTTAGATTGGAGCGAGGCAACGACGAATCCTGAGAAAAGCGTAAGCGTAGGTATATATCCCGGGGATCCTGAATTATGCAAACCTAACGCAGCCAGGGCTGTAGCGATGCCTACCGTAACAAACGGATACGCGATCAACACAAATGTACAGAGAACCTTTGATCGAGTCGCCATGAGTGTCTAAAATAACAGATCAACTACGCAGGGCAGATCAACCGAGCGACGACACCTACGCTGCAGAACCAAACAGGATCACACTTCAGAGTGATGAAGATCATGCTCGAACCGACAATCAGCGAGCCGAGCGTGATACTGAAGGACAAGAGGAGGAGCAAATACGGTCCACGTCGCGTGTAGTTCAGTAACTCCTCCACCGGCGGAGTGGTTGTTATAAACGCGGCCGTCGCACCAACCAGGAGGCCGGCCTACTTGTCCTCAGTGAGCACACACTCGAGAGGATACGAAGAACTCACGACGACGGTAGTGGTAGTGGTACGTTGGGCGAGACGGTCTTTGTCATGTGCCCACTTTTCTTCCGAATGGCAGATCTCCCAGACACTGTCAAGGTTGTCGTGTCCAAAGCTTATCAAGACTGCCATTCGGAATGCGAGAGTCGCAACCCTGTCCCACGGCTTGGAGTAGCCAAATTCACATTTCCAATGGTCAGGCAATGGCGGCAGTGGTGGTGGGTGCTTGACGGCGCAGCACGGAGGGTTGTCCAGGGAGACGAAAGTTTGACTTGTATTTCGCCTGCGAGGACACGGAGGTGGAGGTCTATGCAAGACGATGTCAGAGTGGTTGTACATGTTGGGGTCTGGGGATGTCAATGACATACAGTCGGGTATTAAGTACGAGAGGATGGTCAAGGACGGTCACTGGTCATCCAAGAGAATGTGATCCTAGTAACCAGTTGCTGCACGCAAGCCATACTGTACTGATATTGCCAATACGACCTGATGGTATGTAAATCAATGGAAGTGGACGAGCGCACTACGTGCGACGCGCCAACATTCAGAAAGCATTGTTCCCAGAGAGGCCGTTTCAAATTTGTTCACATACCTTTTCATTAGATGCGGTCCCAGGCTATGGTCATCGCCGGTCAATCGATGAATTGATCGGTCTCCACGTTGGTAACATGGAAGTGTTGTTCATTGTCGTTTCTGAACTCCAGTGACGTCTGGGGTAGATGACCCGAAGGAAGTTAACAAACATATTGATCCCAATGCCAGCCGTCAGAATCGGGCGAGATCGCGTTGAATGGTCTACGGACCATACTTCGACGCAAGCAAAGATCGACTTCGCATCATAGTGTATGGCTTGGCTGCTGTTGGTTCGATGAACCTTGCATGACATTGACATCATGATCTGCATTATTCCGGCGACATAAAGTCTATTACAAATGTTCGTGGCTTTTTTCGAGCCCACAGATTGATTTGTGGTACTGTCGAGCGAAATTCAGTCACGGATTATGAAAGATCAGGCTATTTTTCAGATGCTTACCTTCCAATCTTCCACCTGGCACTGCTTGCTGCAGTAACCTATCAATATATCAGTGGTTGTACTTGAGTGCATGATCAGCGACACGCACGGATGACTTGGCATTTACTACACCTCAATGTACCTTCCACTACTCCGCATCCTCCGCGGCATCTTAACTGATAGCGTTTCAGCCACCTCCTGAACTCTTCGCGATCACTGAGGGTCTCCCTAACATCGCCGTCCTCTTGCAATTCTTTCCACTTCTTGATCTTCTCGTCGTGTTTCCTCTTGCGTTCCTCGTTCCACTTCTTGAGGTCATCCTCGAAAGACGAGGGCATACCAGAAAACGAAACAGAGATAGGATTTTCCTCGTGCATGTGAAACACAATGGACTTCGCGATGGATTCCCCATGAGCACGAATCCAAAAGTCGCTGCCGCCCCAGGCTGAACCAAGATCAGACATCGAGAGCGGGATCCACTTTCCGAAGCGATAGGGAGACTCCTCAGGTTCCTCGATGATGAGAAACCGCACACCATGCCAGGCTTCTTCGCCGTTCGGGCCAATGAAACCGGTCTAAAGCTCGTTACGAAACTTAGATAGCACACGTGAAAAGGCAAGCATACCTCAAGAAAGCGCCGTCTCCTCCTTACATAGATATCCTGGATTAAGCTCGATCCCGTGTGTACGCGCATGTCAAAGTCCTGGACTGCCTTGGTGTCCAGCATCTTCTCGAGGATATCCATGCGGTCCATGCGGTAAAGAAGAGTAGCTAGGCCACATTGCGCCTCAATGGGAGGGGATTCGGGATGTTGGCCTTCCTCATCGACGCCGGACTTTATGACTTTGGGGTAATTGTTCGGAGCAGAGGCAGGAAGAAGTTCGGTGTCAAGAAATCTGACCTAGAAATAGGGGCTCAGTCAGCGCTCAGTTAATTAGCAGAGTCTGAGGAGGTAGACTTACGACGCCATACATTCTGGCGGCTAGAATTGACGCGGTGTGATACCTCGACTTCCGGGGCGCAAGTTTGGAATTCTTCTGAAGGTATATATCGCAAAAAATGTGAAATGATTGTGAAGGGATACTCGGGAAGCTTCCCTAAGAGCTCACTCCAAGTCACTCGGAGTCGCGCGCTATTCCAGAGGAACTCGCTGGATCATTTCAGGTTACCCTTCGTTCCGCCGAACTGGCAACTGCATTCTAGCAACGTAGCAATACATTTATAGCTAAGAGCAGCAGCTGCCCAAAGCCTGTTAGAAGCTTTGACTAATGGACTCTTCAGGCGCCTTAACATAAGGGCGTCTATTTTGACCGAACTCCGCCACCCCATCGTTGTTCATTCACTACGGTGCAGGGGATCTTGGCAAAGCCCAGCACATCTACATCTGCTCGTGAACGAAAATAGGATCACATTCGACACACTTTTATGACAGGCCACAATGTGTCCAGCACTAACTGTTTGCAATGATGTTTCCATGAACTCCACCCTCACGATTCCAACCCAAAAGCACAGACGTACGGAACCTGAATGAGAAGTAACTCAGGTAGCCCCAGTATGCTCGTATGTACGGAATGACTCAACAGGATTAGTTCCATTGGCTCTGTAGATCACTCTTATCGAGTCTGAGTAGCATTGCCTCAGCTGCTACGCCGCAACGACAGACGTACGACAGATGCAAGGCAGAACCTAACAGATCCCTGCTTCAGCATTCCGAACATGTCGTGTGCGCGACAGAAAACTTGAACGGAAGACAGAACACGAAGGTATTCCGTATCGTACATGCCACCTGTCGCCAGTCTGCTCCACAACTGGTTGTCCAGCCACCTAGGGTTGTTGATGAGACCCTTGGCCTTTCGGAGACTGCGTCCGTTAAAGCCTGTTCTATCCTCAAACAGAACTCTTATCACTATTCAGCCCGTCACATGGAGTTGATGGGATTCGACACTTGCATGGTTTGGCACAGGCATAAAATGCATCCAAATCCGCCTCATAATCCAGTCGACTAGCTTCGAGTCCCTCCAACACTCCGGCGTACGTTCAAAGTAAGATTACTACCTTCATCAATTTCACTACTTTCACTCATGCTTCAGTCCCTACCAAGATGCCCTACCACGCTACCTCTTCACGCCGCCCCCACACATCTCCCTCATCCTCTTCGCCCACAAAGTTCATGAAAGTATTTTCTTCGATCAAGAAAAAGGCCGTAGCGCTGGTGTCGCCATCTCCCTCACCCTCTTTTCCTATCGCACCACCCGTTTCCCATCGCTATAATTTGGATCACGCATCGAAGGGCTACCGTCCGGGCTCTTCTCTTCATCGCAAACGCTCTCCTCCTTACATTCCCCCTAATGCGGAATCAATGAGGAAACACGGATTGGCTAATTTCCCTAGGCCTCCTCGCTTCCCCCCAGCTCTCGGACACACGCCATCTTCTTCGACATCCTCCGCATCTTCCTTCGCCACAGCATCGTCAAGCATCTCGCCGTCGCCTTCCACTTCTACGACACTAGTTTCGTCGAAGCGTAGATACAGGAAACAGCCACCTGGGCTAGATGTGGACTTGTGTCTAGTGTCAGACATCCACCGTCCCTTGTCTCCGGAGCAGCAGCAAATAGCCCATCTTCAGGATCAAATAACTGCGCTCCAGCGAGCGTTATCTCCTCCCCCTCACCATACGATCGCTGCCATACCTGAAGAGCAATCTGGCACGGATTCGGATTCGATGTGCTCGGCAGACTACACCCTTCTGCCTACTCATCGGCGCTCCACGCAGTCAGCATACATCAAGGGGCTTGTCGAGCCGGCTAGACGTTCTTCAGTAATTTTAGCCTTGAATTCGTCGAGTCGGCCATCGTCCTCGGATTCCAACAAGAGTTCGCGTTCTCGAGGCAAATCGACGATACTCGGCGAGAAGAGAAGCGACCCGGTTATGGAGGAGCGCGAAGTATATGACCCATTTGCGAAGGATACGGTAGAGATCGTCCACGCCCTTCCTACCTTCTGCACCAGTGTTTCTGCCAGAGGCAATGTGCGTTCCATTCTACCTCTCCTCGAACGAATGCTGACCATCATTGTATTGCAGCGTTCCCGCCCTTCATCAGGCGCTTTCACGATATCCAACGTCTCGAACACCGCTCGTGATCTCTTACTCTCGCCCATCACTGAGATATCCGTCATTCCTCTTCCCGACGGCGATTCGTCGTCGTCGTCCTCTTCCTCCCCTATTTCTTTACCCTCGTCGAAGTCAACCAAGCGCAACAGCGTCGTCAGCTTAGGACAATCCACCATCCCACCCCCTTCGTTCCCTCTTCCCATGCTTCCATCCATGGCGCCGACTTCATCGCCATTGATGTCGTCCTATTCTACTTTCTTACCGCCAAATGATGATGAGCCTGTCGTACATGACGAGAGCAAAGGAGATGAATGGACGCTCGACCTCGGTGCTCTGAATCGGCCTGTAAATATGCATGGCTCTCCCAAAGACAAGGAGGCTAAGTCAGTTGTAGAAGGAGCGGAAGAAGCAGTGGACTGGACTTTGCACATCCCTACGCCTACGTACTCGTACTCTCCACCCACACACAGAAGGAAGGAGTCGTATTTGGATATGACCGACCCAGAGCAGTGGCCTTCGCCCCCCGCGTCGCCACCGCCGTCGATTCGAGCCCCCAGCGTTCGAAGCGTTCGTAGCCGAAGCAAAAGCAGGACCAGGGTCAACGGTGATGGTTGGTCGTATGACAGCCCGCGAGCGGCAGCTCCCCCTCTACCGTCACTCTCACCTTCCTTTGTGTCCCTACCACGCTCCACCCCACCCCCTTCTTCCTTCTCCACGAAGTCGACTCTGACTCGCTCTGGGTCTCGTAGCAGTCGCACATCTTCTCAATCGATCACTTCGGCTCCTCCCGCCGTTGGAAAACGTGCCAGCCGAATTCTCAGTATATACACGCGCAAGAATAACGACGCCAATGAGAGCGGATGGTTTTGATGTTTCTCCGCTCGCAGAGTACTCTGCTTATATCTTCGTTCCTTTATATCCCCGAGACGTTCCTTGACAGACTTCTTTCTTCCTTTAGGATGACTCGCTCTCCTCTTTTATCCCTTGTACTCCCAATTTACCGCTGTATCTGACTGTATTATACCTGTAGTATATATGTTGTAATTTTAGTGTAGAGTTCCCTGTAAAATATCACCATTGGAGCGAACAACGTTAGCTAACCGTCGATCTCATTTCATGCACTAATACCCTCAGGCTATCAGGGAGGTCACATGACACAGAACTCTTTTTGCCACTCCGAGTTCTAGTCCAAATCTTCGAAACGTTCGACTCTTACCCTATCGACTCTGACGCGATTTTTATAGCTTTTTTGGAACATGGAACATGGAAAATAAATACATCGCAACTGGGTCGGGTACTCCCATATCGATATCAGACGAACTAAACCAACAATTAGGCGTCCTATGCGAGGTCGCCCAGATATTGAATATTGACGATATCTCATTTGCAAGGTACGTGCATCCCAGTTATACGCGATTGGCGGCACTTCAATGAGCTGTAGTTACTCTGAGGCCATCTTGTATCTCTCCACGGAACGAGCAAATGCGAAACAGACTCTTGTCAGGTTACAACTGGCTGAAAGAGGGTTACGTATGTCCCTAGCCGGGACACGACACGAAGAACAGTTGTTGGAGAAGTAGGTACCTATCGATTGAGATGCTTTCACTGGAAGGATTCTGACAGTGTTTAGATGGCAAGGCACGCTCCAAGATGAACAGCAAACAAATAATCCTATCGTATCGCTTGAAAAGCGCCGTGACGCGACTATAAAGAAAGCCAAGGAGTATCGCAAAGCTCTGGATGACTTAATGGTGGGCAAACTTGTTAAATCGCGAGTCTGGTCTATATTCACGTGCAATACAGGAGCACGTTGTTGAGGCGCCAGAGATTACTGTAACAGATCTCGTCAAGCAGAAAGAGAAGAACCGCTTGAGAGAGCAGACCCTCAAGGACAAGAGGGCGAAGTTGGCCGCATTTCAAGGATTACCACCGGTATGAGAACCCTCTATCATACATTCGAGATGAACTTACAATACTATGATCACGAAGAACCTTGATATCGCCCGCCACGAGCTCCAAAAGGCCCAGGATGAATATATAAAGCTGATGCAACTTCGGGAACGCCTGTTGGGCAAGATGGCCGATGGCTTGAACTAATTTCAGCATTACTGCCATGGCGGATAATTCCGACAGTATTTGTGCTGCTGTCAACAGCATCGTCGACCAGTATTTCCTGACCCTGGTACTCTGAAGCACGACCGTGGCCTGGCCACAGCGTGGAATGCAATCCAGAAACTGTGTTAGAGGTCTACCAGCAAATATGTGTGTTTGAAGCCTGCGCGTAAGACATGTCGTGGATTATACGTGGAGGTTAATGAGGTAGGATAAAGGGCCAGTCGTCGTTCCAACTTCCAAGGAAATATCGTAAAGAAGCATGACAGATATATCAATAAGCGCTCACAAGACTAAGTCGAGCCTCGCGCCTTCAGGCCTCCACGATCATCGAAAGGTCCCAATGTTATACGCCAGCAACCATGATTGATGCACTTCGACGCCAAAGATCCGTCGAAACTCACGCAACTTACAGTCCTTCGTATATTCATCCGCTAACGCCGGTCAACCTATACAACATTCGCACCTAGTAGCACGGCACTGTCTCGCGAGAGGCACTTAGAGCAAGCTTTCGTCTGCCCCTCATACTGCGTGTTCTCGGACTGTCGAAACTGATACAATTGAAACACTCCGCGACTCACGGTTGTCGAGGTATTCTACCCGCAGATCCTCTGTCTCGACTCAGTCCACGTCTGAGTACAATACTCGGAGGTCATTGGGATTTACCAAGGTAGAAAGTTGAATCTCGATGGCTCTTGCTTAGAGCTCAAGATTGCCCGCAGAACCATGTTCCTCGAGACCCATAAGTCCTGCACCCGGCCCTCGCAAACTTCAACGGGGTTAAAATGGTCTTCTCGAGGTTAAGTGATCTATCACAAGATGGACGCCGTGATGGCGAAAAGCTAAATGAGATTGCATATAAGAACGGTAATGTGTATACGGACCAATTAATCACATCATCCATTTACGGTGCCACCTGATGTCGGGCACCAAGATGTACAGACCCAGTCTTGAAGGGCTCTTCGAACTTCGGCAACAGCAGGTACGTCCGGCACTGCTCATATCATCAGTTGCAGAGCTGACCCTTCACGAACACAGTATCTCGAAGGTGCGGGTTCCTCGCTATCGCAGTAGCCAAGATATTCCCTCATGGCTCGCTAATGGCCGTTAGCATCGGCCGTTGCGTTGTTGGTAGGCGACCTCTGCTTCGTCGTAGGTATGACTCGACACTGATGGAATGCTCGAGTAGATTTATGACTATCTCACTACCTTTGGGGACGAGGTAACCTATGTCTGGAGGAGGCCAAAAGGGATGGGCACCGTGTTATACGTGTTGAACCGGTACCCAGCGTTCATCGATCTCACATCAAGCCTGTACCGTGAGTGAGGTGGCGAACCGCCGGGGCTGCGGCTGACGTACTGGGCTTCGCAGACACTGTCACGCCGGGGCGATCGCAGCAACAGTGCACGTTCTTTGACAAGGCCGAGGGATGTGCGTGATGGATTTACAGCTTCCTATTCTCTCCTGCTGATCCCGTTCACACAAGATTCGTTCATGGCTGGCATCTGTATCGCAGAGGGTGGGTCACTCAATGATATTCCGTGAGCTTTGGCCTCACACATTCCATCAGTGATGATGACAATGCGAGTATGGTCGTTGTGGGGAAGCACCCGATTTATGGCGATTACCTTGAGTGCGCTATGGGTAGCCTCCGTCGTCGCAGTCTCCACAACGGCCAGAGATATTTCGACATGCAAGTAATTTACTACTCAACTCATTTCGTATGATCGCTAATTGGACTCACCTCTAGTTGCTCCTGCGGAGGACATCACATTCCATATGTCGGGGTGTTATCGTTTGGGACCCACCAACGAATTCGTTTCCTTCGCTGTCTTGATGGGCTTCGAAGCCGGTTCGTCCACTTGATACATAATAATAAGTCCACATCATTTACCACTTGATTGTAGTCATATTGACACTGACTCTAGTCAAATGTCTCAAACACTGTGAGTCTTCTTTTCTTTCAATTTCATATGTCTGACGACTATGAAGCACAATTACGCAGTTCCCAGCTCATATACCCATCCTCACTATTCGACTTGTTCGTCAGAGACGGTAAAACTTGATGTTTGATCCAAAGCACTGCAAAATTAAACGCTGTTCTAACTTTGTAGGCATTATATACTTTGTTGGTGTTCTCGGTGCGTGGCTTTCTGCAATCTTCCCCGGTCTCAGGTGGCTGTGAATTGCTACGTAGTTGCATCGTCCATCAACGTTGTTCTCCTTCACGGAGGTTCACAAGCAGTATGTCATGGATTTTGGCTGTCCTGCTTCGCTGCTCACGTTCGCATCCATTGGCTTTAGGAGATGACCGGGTGAGCACAGAAAATACCTGGTAGTGATGAGGAAACGCACCACCTCAACAAGGCTCCCACAGGTTCCAACGCTCCCTGCATTCCGTGCTGGCGTGTCGCATATTCATTCACATACGTCGAACTGCGTCGACGACCTTTGTACCCGACACTGGAGGATCGCCGTACGAGGTACGGTCGGGGGATACAGCAATGGTATCTCTGGCGTTTGCCCCCCATTCTGCGGCGAGCGCAAGTTTGAGTGTCTAAGGCATCATGTGGCCTAACAGAGGAAACAGTGCAGACCACAGGTAGCTGCCATGTTGTAGTGATCCCCAGAGCTTAGGCTCCCTGCCATATCTCCTACATCTTTCTAATTTACATCTGTTTGGTACTTGTAGTATTTAAGAGCTTGTATCTTACGGACATACAGTAGAGTTCAGAAGGTTTACCCCTGTCTATTGAGGTGTGACCTGACCCCTTTCCATGTTTGTCTCTGTGCTAGTGCTTGCAGACAATACAGCATTGTCGGCATAGCCAAACAGTGAATCCAAAAGCTTGGACCTTTACCAATACTGGTGTTCTATTTGGCGGTTCCACAAGGAGCCGCTCTTTCAATGCCACAATCACTTATGGTTATAAGTAATACTACCATGCTCCTTTAGAGTGTCCGTCCCTTATTCTCACTGTGGGAAGTCTGGGCATTATCATGCAGCACTGCCGGAGTTTATAGCCAAAATAGTAGTGTCATTGGTAACAATACTTCTATTTGGCAGGTCATTGAGTGAAGACAATAACACGCTGGATATTGGGAGATTCAGTAGCTCCGATGTTCCTCATGTAGACAACATTTGTGGCAGTCTGTTCTTACACGTTCACAACATTGAACCAATATCTGTAAGGGGCAGCCGATGTTGTAGAAAGTACGGGGACTTCGGAAGGAATAGATGCTGAGGGAACGGCTCCGGTTGAGGAATCGGACACGGCGGATTTTGTCCGGACCAACGAGTGATCAGTGCGACCTTGTTGGTGAATAACCGATTTGCTTGTCTTAGCGTAGACGAAATAGACGATTCCAATCACTCCGATGATTCGTCCGACGTTAAGCAAACGACTCCGGTTACAATCCGCACACTCCGAAGGTTTCGCCCGCAGTGGGAATGGCGGCTACCCAGTAGCTATAAGATCTCCGCGCTGCCCGGCAAGCTTTCACTAGATATACCTGTTGAAGTGCAGAGCACGGATACACAACACAGATGCACCCTGCAGGCCCTGGTGGACTGTGGAGCCACCGGAGTCTTCATGCATCCGCGCTTCGCTGATGCCCATGGTTTCACCCGGCGCAAGCTGTCCGCCCCGATCCCGGTCTTCAATGTCGACGGATCACCAAACGAAAACGGATCCATCTCCGAAGTCGTGGATCTTGTACTCCAGTTCAAGGATCACACGGAACAGATGCTTTTTGCAGTCACTAGCATCGGACGGCAGGACATCATCCTCGGATACACCTGGCTTCGGAAGCACAACCCCGAGATCGACTGGCAGACAAAGGAGGTGACCATGAGCCGCTGTCCGTCCAGATGCGATACCTGTCGGAAGGAGTTCCGCCATGACAAGCTGACCCGACGCAAGGAGTCCGTACGACTCCGGGAGTGTCGTACGGGTCCGATGCCAATGGTCGAGGAACTGCACTCGGACGATCTCCCGCAGCTTCAGGACTGCGAGGTCGACGACGAGGACGATGAGGCCACAACTCCGGATGACTCCGGACTTGAGAAGGGCGACCGTATCTTCGCAGCCATTCCTCCTCCGACTCCAGAGTACCTTCGGAGTCTTCGGGAAGAACACGTCCGAGCTTCGGAGACGGTCTCGCAGCGCCTCGCATTGGCTTTCCAGCGCAACAAGCCCCACGATCCTCGGAACAGCGCAGTCCCGGACTTCCTCCGAGAATTCGAGGACGTCTTCGCCAAGGAGTCCTTTGATGAACTGCCCATGCCGCGTCCGTGGGATCACGCCATTGAGCTAATGGACGGAGCGGAACCGACCTCTACCAAATGCTACCCGCTGTCCCCCGCGGAGCAGAAACAGCTGGACGAGTTTCTGGAAGAAAATCTCCGGACTGGTCAGATCCGCCCCAGCAAGTCGCCCATGGCTGCCCCGGTGTTCTTTGTTAAGAAGAAGGACGGATCGCTCCGCTTGGTCCAGGACTACCGGAAGCTCAACAGCATGACGGTCAAGAATCGGTACCCACTTCCGCTCATCTCGGACTTGGTGGATAAACTCTGGAACGCTCACTACTTCTCCAAGCTCGACGTCCGGTGGGGTTTCAACAACGTCCGGATCAAGGAGGGTGACGAGTGGAAGGCCGTGTTCCGGACTACGCGCGGACTCTTTGAACCGTTGGTAATGTTCTTCGGACTAACAAATAGCCCATCCACCTTCCAGACCATGATGAACGACCTCTTCCGGGAGCTCATTACGGAAGGTGTGGTCATTATCTATCTGGATGACATTCTGATCTACACCAAGACGCGCGAAGAGCATCGCCGGGTTCTCAAGCGAGTCCTAGAGATCCTCCAGCGGAACAAGCTCTTCCTCCGAGCGGACAAGTGCGACTTCGAGCAGACCAAGGTGGAGTATCTCGGAGTTGTCATCTCTGAGGGTAAGATCGAGATGGATCCCGTGAAGGTTTC